CACCCCTATCTGCTGATGGCTCTTTCTCCTTCCTCCGCAGAAACCAAGAAGCAACCGAGCTCCTGCCAGAAGATTTGCTGCAGGTGAGGTGCAGGCTGGGCGAGCTGGCATGTGCCTGCTTGTGCCTGGGTGTGGGAACCTGCCCCGTTCCTGCCTGCGATTTGCCCTGCCGGCACCTCCAGTCACAGGGCTGGGATCTGCCTGCATGCCCAGAGGGTAACTCCAGGACCACAGCGTTAAGGGAATGGCAGGCTCCTGCCTGCCACAGGAAAGGGCTTCCTCGGCTGCTCCCAGAGGGATGACCTGGAGCTGTTCCTTTTTCCCTGGACCGGGGACACTCTGGGCTGTGGCGGGATGCTGAGTGGGCTCACCCACCCCAGAGCTGGGTAGCGGGGAGATGGCCTCGGGGCACCCACGGTTGGCGAAAGGTCTTTCTCAGTCCCGCCTTTCCACCCCCAGATTGAGCAGAGGATCGAGCCAGCCAAGCGAGCGGCTCACAGCGTGTCCAAGAGGCTCCAAGCCTGTCTGCAGGGCCAATGCGGCACAAGCGAGTGGTGAGTGGAGTCCTCTTTCCGCAGCCCGCGCTCACCCCAGCTCTGTCCCCCACCAGCAAAGAGGATGCCAGGCCTCTGCTCTGCAGGCTTTGCCGAAGGGCAGTCCAGGTCCCATCTCCAGCAGTGGGCACCAACAGGTGCTCAGGTAGAGCAGAGCAGGACAACTCTCTCAACCATCACTAGCTTGAGGCCTCCTGGGACAGAGATGGTGTTTTTGCATTGAATAACCCTCTAAAGCCCTGTTGTCCATGTCCCTTCCTGAAGCCCTGTGAACCTCTGGCACCCATGGTGCCCTGTGGTGAGGAGCACCACAGTGCGGCTGGGCACAGTGGTGCCATCACTTCCTCCTCCTTGGTTTGAACCTGCCACTCTCTTCCCAGCTGGTGCTCACCAGCCCTCTTCTGGGAAGAAAAGAGTGGATTCCTCTGCACTTTCCTTAGTCCCTCCAAGATTTTGTGGGCTCCCCTCTTCTTGGCAGCCTGGCAAGCCCCAGCTTGGCTTAATTATTCTCAGTGATTAAACTGTTCCATACATTTGAAGACGTGGCAGGACTGGGCCTCCATCAGTGTCACGGTCCACCACAGGGGACTATTTCAGAGAAGACTGGAGATTTTATAACCAACTATGGAGCCTCAGTGCCTTGTTTTGCTGACTGGGTCCCGGCTTTGGCCGAAGGGACATCCAAAGGGCCCTTCCTCAGGCCCCAGGGCCAACAGGGCTGGGTGAGCTAGGGGAGGATGTGGGGAACCAGTGCAGGGTTTGGCCTCTTGCTCCCATGCCATGTGGCATGCTTCACAGGGAGGGAGCTGCCACATGCCAGTTCACCATCCCTTTCCCAAACCCTTGGCTCTGTGTAGAAGAAGCTACCCTTGATGGTTCTGTCCATGACGATGGCTGAGAGCTTCAGGGAACTGGATGCAGAGTCCAGCCTTGGGTAAGTTCCAGTGGAAGAAAGGGACGGGAATGACCTTGAAAGATGCCAGACCCTGGCAGAGCTAATGTCTTGACTCAGAGGCTCCCATGGCCAAGCTGAGCTGTGAAACCCTGTCCTCAGAGCAAACGTCGGTGTCGCAGGGGGAGAAGGATCAGCCAGTGCCTTCAGCCTCCAATTGCAGAGGGGGCCAGGGGCTGGCTCAGGGTGTAGGTGTGGGTACAGCGGGAGATGTTGAGTCAGAGGGTAGCACGGCTCCAGCCCGTGGTCATTTCTTCTCTGTTCCCACATAGGAAAGCCCTGGAGATGGGCTGCTGCATACAGAGCTCTCTGGCCAAAATCCTGGCTGAGTTCGAGATTGCCCTGGAGCGCGACGTCCTGCAGCCACTCAACAAGCTCAGCGAGGTAGCCCTGGCTGCCCTCCTGGCTTCGCTCCCCCATCCCACCACACCTGCCCGCATCCTCAAGCTTCCCCCACTCACTCTGGCTCCTCTCTCCCCCAGGAAGAGCTTCCCATCATCCTGAAGCGCAAGAAGACCCTCCAGAAGTTGATCTCTGACTGGAACAGCATCAAGAGCCGGTATGGGGCACATCGTGGCCGGAGGGGGCCAGGGCACATGGAGCACAGGCCCCCAGATGAGTTGAGGGAGAGAGGAAGATGACTGCCCCAGGCAAATTTCCCAGGGCTGGGGACAAAGTCAAAGAGGCAGCAGCTCTTCAGGAGTGCTCAGCCAGCCCCAATCTGCAGGTGATCCCTCCCTGGGCTGAGCCGTTGGCTCCGTGGTACAGGAGAGAAAGGCAGGGCCATCGCCGAAGGCAGCAAAGTGCCTTGGCGCTGCTCAGTGCCGCTGAGATTGCCCTGCTCTGACTCTTGCAGGGTAGCCCATGCTGGGTTTCTCTGGGAGAGCCATGGGTCACTGGTGGCTCATTTCCACACTGCCTTCCCTCTGGCTGGAGGGAGGATAGGAGGGGACATCTCAGGAATGGGGATTGGGAAGGGTCCTGCAGACCCTGGGTGTTTCAGGCAACCATGCTGAGTGCTCCCTGTCTTGACCAGGTTGCACCCCTTGGTGTGGCAGCATCTTCCTCTGGGTGAGGGAAGTGAGAGGTGCTGGCCTAGGAAAACCACCGCAGGGCAGTACCGTGACTTGCCATCCCCCTTGCAGTCCCCATACCCCTTTCTGCATAACCATCCTACCCCACGTCCCTGGTGCTGAGGCTGTGGGTATGCCTCTTGTCTCCCAACCCAAAGGCTGAACCAAGCTGCCAAGAGCTCCACTAACAGCGCTGGCACTGCTGCTGGCCCAGGTGCATCTTCCACTGCCAACAAACTGGAGATCTTGAAGGAAGAGGAAGAGGAGGTGAAGAGGAAGGTGGAGCAGTGCAAGGTGAGAATGTCACTCGCTCTCACCCATGGGGCAGCTCCAGGGCTGGAGACCTGCTCACCTCCACTGGCTCCGTCCGAGGTGACCCCATGCTTAGAGGGATGCAGCCAGCTGGCATGTCCTGCCCTCCACAAGCAAATCGGTCCCTCAAGGAGCCGAAATAGGGGGATGCCTCAAGCCCAGGGAAGAAGAGTAGTAAAGGATTCAAAGCACAGAGAGGAGGCTACAGGTGCTAGAGCAGGGAGCTTACAGGGTCCCCTCAGGCTGGGAGCCAGCTGAGCTGGGGTCTGTGCTGGGTGACAGGGGACTTTTGCATCAGTTTTCTCCACTTCTTCCCTGTTTCTCTGAAAAGCCCAGTGCCTTGTCTGGCAGAGCCTGTGGGCTCATCGAGCTGGAGGTGCAGGGACTTCTTGTCCCTGAGCCACTTGTGCCAGGATCCTGATTGTAGGGCAGGTCACTGCCATTACCCAAATGCAAGTTATGGGGGCAAGGAATAATCGCCTCGTGGTCCCAGTCTGCCTCCCCACTGCATCTGGAGACTCTGTCTGGACGACTCAGAGCCTGTAGGAGGGTCTTAGTGAAGGTGTACCCTCTTCCTCATGTGCCAGGGAGGAGGTGGAATACTGCTCTTCTCTGTATCTCTCTTCCCAGGATGAGTACATGGCTGACCTCTACCACTTCTCCACCAAAGAGGACAGCTATGCCAGCTACTTCATCAAAGTAAGTCCTCTCTCACACTCCTCCTCAGAATGTGAACATCTTCTGGGGTATGACTCAGTCCAGCCTTATCCCTGTCCACACTAAGCCCTCTGTCCAGGGCAGGGGAGAGCCCCAGGCACCAGCAGATGCCTAAAGCTTGCCTTGTTCTATGCACTGTGGGTTAATGCCACCACTAGCACCAACTGCAAACAGAGCAGCTTGTCCCAGTGACCTCCCCTCCCTCCAATTTGCTCTCTACAAATTTGTCACGACAGACATGGTCCCACGGACCCCAGGGGGGTTTCCCTTGCAGCTCCCCCTTCACCCTGTCTGTATGTGGGTGCAATGGGGATGGGGGTCTGTCCAAAAGGGGACAGTGTTGAACTGAGTGCTGTTTGCCTGTCCCCTGTCTGGCAGCTGCTGGAAATCCAAGCCCAGTACCATCGGCAGTCCCTGGGATCTCTGGACTCGGCTCTGGCGGAACTGAAGGAAAGCCACAGCCAGACAGGTACCTGCTGGCTCTCCATGCAGCCCTGGGGGCCTGCAGGCAAGCCCAGGGGATGCAAGTGTGGCTGGTGAGGCTAGGAAAGGTGAATTTTCCTTCCCTGTGCCTGCTGCTGCCTCCCACATCACTGGTGGGATGGGGATTGCAGACTGAGGCAGGCTGGGGATGCCGCCTGCCCTGCTTCTGCCTCTGCCAAGCCAGGCTTGGCTCGGAGCGAGATGCCACTCTGGCTAGATGCTGGATGGCCCTGGCAGCCGCCATCCCTCCCGACATTCACCTCCCTCTTCCAGAGCCCTTCTTCGCTGCAGACACCCCAGTGGCAGGGTACTACGGTGTGCCTCTAGAGATGCACCTCAAGAGCTTGGGACGGGAGATTGCGCTGCCCATCGAAGCCTGTGTCATGATGCTGCTGGCCTCCGGCATGAGAGAAGAGGTAGGCAGTGGTCTTGACCCTCCCATCACCTTCCTCCCCAAAATGCAGCCCCCTCACATCCCTTCCCTCTTCGCCCCATCCCCAGGGACTCTTCCGGCTGGCAGCAGGCGCCTCAGTGCTGAGGAGGCTGAAGAGCAGCTTAGCCAACGGCTCTAACGCCCTGGAGGAGTTTTACTCGGACCCCCACGCCGTGGCCGGTGGGTGCTGGTGAGGTGGGGCAGGGGAACACGATCGGGCAGTCCTTGCCTTTCCTCAGCCACCATCACCTCCACTGCTCCCCCTCCCCTCCCAGGTGCACTGAAATCCTACCTGCGGGAGCTGCCCCAGCCTCTGATGACCTTCGAGCTCTACAACGAATGGGTCAAAGCGGCCAGGTGGGTCCGGGCGTTGGGACGGAAAAGCCTGGCAAGGCTCAAAAAGCCCCCAGTCACCCGCCTCCATCCCTCTTGGCACTCAGAGCAGGGTTGCTTGGTCTCATTTGCCATGTGGGGAGATACAAACGCAGCACCTGGTCTGTCTCATGCTCAGCAGACACCCAGATGGCCCAAAATCTTGGACAATGCCAATAAAAAACACAGCAAGGGGAAAGGCTGCAGCCTTTTTGACTGCAAGAAGAGCTTAGTCTGGGAAGACCTGCTTGGCCTCAACAGCGTGAGCCCCACCTCACCAGCCCACTAGCCCAACTTGGCCTCTTGCTTTCAGGATGGAAAGGGCACAGGAAAACGCCTGGGCAAAGAGGGAGAGCATCTTTCTGAAGGCACTGGCCATGAGCCACAGTGAAATAGGGTGGCTGATCATGGCCAGGTGGTGCTCGCCCCCAGGCCCATCCACAAGCTATATTTGTATTATATTAAATCCCTCAGAGCCTTTGGGGTGCAATTTTGTCCTCTGTGGATGCCTGCCTTAGCTGCCCAGTAAAGACAGCAGCAGGACATCTCCATCCTCAGGGCTATGGCCCGCATGGGGTGGCCAACACTGGCCTTCCTCCCTCACACACCACGTCCCCCTCTGCCGTAGGGAGCAGGCTGAGCTCTCCGCTCCTCCTTCTTCTCTCTTGCAGCCTAAAGGACGTTGACAGCCAAGTACAGAGCCTGCGAGACACCTGCAGCCGCCTGCCCCAGGAGAGCTACAACAATCTGAGGTATTTTGCAGGGACAGGGCTTCTTCAGCCCCAAGTGATCACCGGGAGCAGCCATTCCCTCCCCAAATCCGTAATTACTGCCCCTTTGCCCTCCTTTTACCCCATAGGTATCTGATCAAGTTTTTAGCCAAGCTGGCCGAACACCAGGAGGTGAATAAAATGACCCCTAGCAACATCGCTATCGTGCTGGGCCCCAACCTGCTGCGGTCGCAGCAGAGCACAGGGTAAGGCTCTTACTCTGACCACCCTCGGAAGGGTGGGAGGCAGCTCCTGAGTGCCCTGAGCGCAAATGCTATGAGAAAGGCTGATACAGCAGCCTCCAGGCTGGTCTAAAGCACCTGTGCCTCTTCCATCCTCAAGTGTCATCCTTTGTCCCCGCAATCCCTGAGTAGCACGTCCCCTCACCAAACACATGTCCTCTTAGCCACTCCGCAAACTAGCAGAGGAAGAGGCTGTGGCTCAGAGCAGTTGTGACATGGATGGCCTCCAACACTGTTGGCCTCCGATACCAGACCAGGGTTTCCAGGACACAGACACGGCCCACCTCCCACTCTACCACCCACTTTGGCTGAGCTGTCTCCCCTTTGGGCTCTGCCCCCTCAGGAATGAACACCAAAAGGGCTAATGCCCTGAAAACCCTTTTCTGATGCCTCCCCCACCCTTGTGTCTCAGAGACTCCATGCAACTGGACTTGGCCTCAGTCTCCTCCATCCAAGTGGTAGGTGTGGTGGAAGCCCTCATCCAGAATGCAGACGTCCTCTTCCCTGGAGGTAGGGCCAGGGCCTCGCTTGGAGCACTGCAGCCCAGGGTGAAGCAGGGAGGAAGGGA